GTTGTACTGTTCTTTTTCTTCAAAGTGTGCAGGAATATAATGCTGCCGCCTGTAAAAAGACTACTGTCTTAATAAGGTGACTTGTATAATCGCTGCCTCTCGTTCCCCTTTAATGTGAAGGGGCATTATGCCCGCGAGCACTGCTGCCGCCATCGTTGCGGTTGCGCGGTACGCCTTTGTAATGGAAAGTGCATAATGTCTTTGCATGCTGCTTGGACAATTTTTCAGATCCCCAAACGGCCTGAGATAGGTGAATCGTGTAACTCCTGTAATATATTTAATCTAAGACTAGCTGAGATAACAGGCCTAAACTCTCGTGGTTATTATTTGTAGTCTTAGTATGAAATAACAATCCATCTATCAGTTCGTAGTGAGCCACCCTATTCCTTATTGGTACAATATCTTGGTGACTAAAGTTTTCGGGATCTATCAAATAATTGTATATATTCTTAAATTCATGATCTTTGCCCAGTTCGGCTATTACGGTTTCAAGAGAATCAATTATTTCCAATGTGAGCATTGCGTACGGCGGAAACATTTAGAAATCCTGAATGAGAACAGAGAGCTTACTCAAGCTATGTTCATGTGTGCGTGGAATAGACAACACAAATAAGAAGGGTTAACTTTAACTTTTCTTACAGCGTACAAGCGCTCCCGGTCATGTAGAATCCCGGCAATTCGGGATACAGAGACCAACACTTTTGGTCTAAAACGTAGAAAATAAGAAATATCAACTTAATAACTAAACAAGAATTAAACTTAAATTCCGTACAGAGACTATTAACGCGAAGATTGACCTTTTGACACTACGTATGTACTGAGCGAAATGAAAATACTACAATACGTCTTGTATATCAGCAGGAACTAAGTTCAGACATGAATTAACTGAAAAGCACGCGCGTCGCAGGGTAGCAGGAAGGCTGTTATTCCTCTTGGCTAGAAGCCACTTGTTAAATACCTACACAGTTTGCAAACTTGTTAACATAAAAATGCTCTTCGTGCTTATTCTACCGGAAATGGAATATAAGAGAGGATAGCAAAGTTTTAAAATAAAATAAACGTTAGTAAAACTTAAAATCCTAATAACGTGACAAACTTCCATTACAGATCATTTACATAAATCAGCGTTTCTATTTTTTTTTTTTTTTTCAAGCTAAGATATGACCCTTAAAATTCAAATTCAAGTTTTTTTATCTTGGAAAGTATTACATCGCACGCTTGCTATGGTTATAATTCTGAGTTCTCGTCTTTTTAGTAAAACGAAGGTTTCACACTTTCCTTTAATATATTAGTTGGTTAAAATTCCATAATCGGGGTGAGCGCCAAGCTTGGCGAGGGTTTTTTATTTGGTGCGATTTTAATTTGGTTGTGGTTTCCGGCTGTATGTTTTCTTGTGGCAAATCTAGAGCTTTATTTCGGTAACTGTAAGAGCACGAATTTATTGCAGCCAGATTTTTTTAAAAATTTAATTTTGAAATACTGTGTTTGTTTTTAAAAGTTTTACTGTTTAATATTATTGTTATATATGTAAGATAAAAATATATGAATCAAAATTATAAACTATAAACATTAATCCTTCCTCTCTATTCTAAAACCGTAATAACTTCTTTGCATTGCGTCATTTCTAGATCACTCAATGATCGGCGCAGCTCTGATGACGTAATCATTGGGAACTGAAACTGTCCTTGTAAACCAAAACTTTTCTCTTCGCGAGCCTCCATCTTGCATAACTACGCACTTCAGCTTTTGCTCTCTACTTTGCTAAGATGGATTTTCGCTGGCTTGCTTTCTATCTCAACAATATCTAAAATGTAAATCTTCTGTGGAAAGGCACGACTAGAGTGCCAAGTGATCTGTGGCCACATATGTCAATTGGAAATAAAAATGGAATTAAAATCGCCTCGACTGCCAAGTTCTTTAAATACTACGCAATCAAAATTCTTCTTCAATATGGATCTAAGCACGCATCGACACTGCTCCGGCTTTTCCTTTTTGCTCTTATTATGACAATTAAGCCGGTAGGATAGTTTCCTGCAGCCTGAAACTTCAATGGAAAATTTAGTTCAGCTCTTCAAATCATCGTTTTGTGATAAATCCAAGATAATGTGAAAGAAGTGAATCATCAAATTTGTTTTTTCAGTGTTTAAAAAATAACAGATCATTCTTCTGCTGTGGTGCAAGTGCTTCAAAAAAAAAAAAAAAAAAAAAAAAAAAAAAAAAAAAAAAAAAAAATCACGCGTAGTGTTTACAGATTGAAAGTGATCGCTCGATAATTGAGAAGTTCGAATGCTAGTGAAAAGAATCATCAGTGAATTACCGGAATTAAGCATTACAGCGGGTTCAAGATCGATCTGAGTTAGTGTTTGCAAGTATGCGACAGAAATATTTGCATTTCCGCTTTTTCAACAGCTCAAAAATTATTACATTCGTGTGAACCTAGCTCAGGAACTAAATTATTTAATGTGCTGCGAATTCTATAGTTTTTCATTTCAACTTTGGTTTTAAAATTTCTGCAAGTTGTTTTGAGAAAATCTGAAATTCTGTTCATTAATTTTTCTAATTTTTCATAATTATGTGTGAGCAAATTAAGTAACTAATTTTAAGCTATTTAAATTATTCATAGGGAAGGATATTAAGATAAGTTTTTATGTTTTTGAAAATTTGTTGAGAATTTTGAATACGAATTTTATAATTATTCTAAAAATAAAGATGTTAAAAATAAGTGAAATTAGTACAGATAAGTAATATGAAATTATGGTAAATGCATGTTAAAATTTATGGCTTATTTGTGTTAAGTATAGTATGCTGAGGGTGTACTGGTTCCTTCAACAGAGGCCTGTAATTACCTCTGTACAGTTGTTCCTTTTACCCTCTTCATGCAAGATAATGTTGGAGGCTCTCATTTTATGAATGCATGTAAATTTTTTATATTATTATTATTATATATTTTTTATTATGGAATGTATTAGTGCAGTTCTCAAAGGCCAGTTACCTTAATGCAAGGAACGGAGTCCTTTTCAAGTAACTGCCTAGGCACCCTGGGCCACTAGTGCAGAGAACACACTGGTTAGCTCAAGAGGACAGCCCTATTGATGGATATGTTTGTTTAGAAGTATTGCGAGGCTTCCAGTTTGGTAAAATCAGGAATTGTAAATGAAAGATGATAACGGTGAAACCATAAATTCTGAAAATCTTAATCCTTTTATTTATGATGTTAAATTATAATTTATCAGTATGGAAATAAGTATCATAAATATTTATGTGCATTACATTTAATTATAAGAAATGATTATGTAAAAGTTTTTGTGATATTCTGTAATAACAAGAACCTTCCCTGATGAATTATGATTATGTGAACGCTCAAACAAAAAGACTTTTGGACTGAAATGTTGAAAAATTCAATAGGACTCTAAAAATTAAGAATCTATTTAAAAAAAAAAAAATGATATTTATAAATAATACTTTACAGAATCAAAATTTTATTATTTATTTATATTTTTTTTAATTTGCTTGTGCTTTAACTCTTTTTCTTTAAAAAGGCTTCTCTGTCGCTACGCCTTTTTCTTTTTGAAGGGGGGGGGAATATGTAAGATAAAAATATATGAATCAAAATTATAAACTATAAAACATTAATTCTTCCTCTCTATTCTAAAATCGTAATATAATAACTTCTCTGGCATTGCGTTCATTTCTAGATCACTCTATGGATCGGCGCAGCTCTGATGACGTAATAATTGGGAACTGAAACTGTCCTTGTAAACCAAAACTTTTCTCTTCGCGATGCCTCCATCTTTGCATAACTACGCACTTCAGCTTCTTTTGCTCTGCTACTTTGCTAAGATGGATTTCGCTTCGCTGGCTTGCTATTCAATATATCAATAAATTGCAATAATCTCAAAATGTAAATCTTCTGTGGAAAGGCACGACTAGAGTGCCAAGTGATCTGTGGCCACATATGTCAATTGGAAATAAAAATGGAATTAAAATCGCCTCGACTGCCAAGTTCTTTAAATACTACGCAATCAAAATTCTTCTTCAATATGGATCTAAGCACGCATCGACACTGCTCCGGCTTTTCCTTGTTTTGCTCTTATTATGACATATATATAGGTTTAATATTATATTTATATAAATATTTGTAGAAGGTTAAGCTGTTGTTGGTGGGAGAATGTTGGATTTCATATGACATGAAGTTTATAATTTATGAATGTTTTCATTTAATTTTATTTAGTTATTTTTTTTTTTTAGTTTTGTTTCTTGGATGTGGCAATCGAAAGATGTGGAATATTTAAAGCTTTGAACGAAAGTTGTTTAGTGTGTTGAATTCCACGAGGATAGTAACTTGAATATTTTAGTTAGTTTTATGATGCTGAATACGCATTATTTGCTATTCTGTTTACGTTTAAAACTGACTTCGCAGTGCTCTGATCTGATAAGTGCGTACATCTTGCAAAGCTGTTGGACTTTGTTTTACTCAGAACTAGAATTTTATCATCTCATTTTACTATTCTGTTTACATAAAATAACGGCGTTTCACTACTGCAAAACTTAAAAGTTACTATTCTGTTGACGTTTAAAAATCACATTTTAGTGCTTTCATTGCCGCCTAAAAAATTCACCAAATTTTGAAGGCCAAAATAGTTTGGCACCAACTTACTCCGCTTATGGAATTTTAGCCTATTTAGTTAATTCGTTTTCTTTGAATCGTGCATTAACTTGGTTAAAATGTTTAATTTGATTATCATTACGTTTCTCTTTAACATCACAGCACAGAGAAGAGATAAATCAGATAGTTAGTAAAAAATATCTGTCAGTTTTTTAGTCAACAATGGATTTTGTAACTTTTCTAATAACATTTTGTTAATAGCTGAACTATTATATGCACTAACAACAGTTCTTATTCTAAGCTGCTTGTATGTTAATAGCTGATCTGTGTTACTAGAGTTAGACGCGTTTTTACTCTAAGCAAGATAACAGAACAGCGATTCATTTTCTTTCAGAAAATTCTTGTGAGCTTCCAGTTATACCACAAAATGGATTCTATCGTGCACCTGAGAATGTAGAGTTTGGAAGCGTTATCAAATATTTCTGCAAGGATGGCTTCAGTCTACAAGGTTTTAGCGAGTCTATATGCCGTACACCAGGAACATGGTCACATCCAACTCCCACATGCTTAAGTAAGTTTCCTAAAATGTATGGATCTTCTTTCCTATTTCTAGAGAACGAGCATAATGCTTGTTTACAGAACATTATTGAAAATATATTAAAACACGCTAGATCTGTAGGTTTGTTGGTAGATTTTTAGCACAGAGGATGAGCTAAGTTCTAATATATTGCAAATATGCTCCTTGGATGATTTTTAAAATACACTCCCGACCAAAAATATGTTATTATATTACATTATATTTAATCTAACTTTCAAAATTATAGCAAAAGCTTTGCTATAATCTATAAGACGCTCCTCAAATCATAGACGTGTTTGTCTTAGGATTGAATACTACTTTTTTGACGTATTATTGGCAACTCCTTTTTTCTACCTTTTTGAACTGTTTATGTTTTAATTGAAATGAAGTGTTAGTTTTCGAAATTTACTGCTAGAGATATTTGTAATTAGAAATGTGCTTTTTACATGTTTTGGCTGTTTCCCCGCACTTTACATAGCAAGTATTTTGAGTTTCTATGAAGCTTTAAAATTACTAATTAAGCTTTCAGTACCAGGTTTCGAAGAATCGCCACCAGAACTAGTTTTCTTTCCGTTTTTGCTGGAACATTTACAGTTATCAGTGAAGTAGGATGGAATATTCGCTGCCCTCACATGTTTTTTATTGTTTGAAGGTTCAGTGTGTTAATTTTAAAGTCTACAATTAGATACTCAGTGATACGTTTCGCAATAAATGTTGGTATTTATTATATTTTAATTTATTTATTCAATTTCTAATAAGCAGGTCTTTTTTTGGGGTAAGGCTCCTTTGTAAATTCGTTTGAAATCTTGCATGTGCGTGAGTATGAATGCACGCTTAGGTTCCGGATATTAGTTGCACAATCCAACGCCACTAACATTAGGGACATCAATCCATAGTTTTCGTAGTGTGAGATTAAAATGTTTAAGATAATCGAGCTACTTGCTGCCTGTGGAATACTCTTGTTAGCCTACTGTCCACAGCAAGAAATAATAATATTGCTGATATTGATCGCTAAATATAAATATGTGAAGTATTTGGTAATCTATGGGTATGGTAACAGTAATGTAACGTCGACGAACTTCCGCGATGGAAAAACGCAGACCAGGTTTTTTTCCCTATTTATTTAATAACATAGGCATTCTTGATTAATTAAAAGTAACAGTACAGCATTATTACAGAATGGGAAGATAATATCTTTCCTGATGAGGGATGCATCTTTTATCGACATTTCTTAGACAAAAGCAACGTTTTCGTTTCTCTTACCCGATCAGTAACGGATATCCCACTAAGGAGGTGTCCTTAATAAGTCTTTATATTTTCCCTATGCTGGGTTAAATACCAAGGATTAAAACTGACACTTACATTGAAGCCAGTGTAAAAAAATAATACAATTACTAACGACTAAGCGTTATTGTTGCATCGTAAAACCTTATCCTGTCCTAAACTAGTAAAACAAGAGTTACATTAGCAGAGAATTTTTACCGTGGTTAAACCTCTAAGACAGGCCGTATAGCAAATGGGACTGCGTTACATATATTAGTTTTTGTTTCCGGGATCGCGCCAGTTGAATGGCTACACGTACATTCTGAGAAGGAGCTTGCTCCTACTTGGTCGCATCGGACATAAAACTCCGTCGACCTAAGATCTCGTATCCCGTTGGCCGAGAAAGCGCACCACTTAAGAGGTCGCTCGAGGGCCTGAGTGACGATGCTAGAAAAATGAGGATGGTAACGATGGCCGTAACCTTAGAAATGAAATATATGCATGATATATCTAAAGTGGCAAAAATGATAATATAAGATTGATATAAAAATACCAGTAGAAAAATTTGAAAATTGATAAAGGAAGGTATCGGAGGGATATCTTGATAAGAGGAAAGGTGTCGAAAGGACGCCTGATATGCATTCAGATAAACAATAAATTCATGCATACAATCCTTTTTTTTCTTTTTTCACACCTTAAATCTACACATAAAGAAATTTTCGAGCTCCTGTATAGCCGCAAATTCTCCAGAAATAACCAAAAGTTTACAATTTTCAATAGATATCTTATTAACCTAAAGCAAATAAAGTTTTCTTATTTCAGGTAAACAAAAACATTATTTTAGTCTACTGGGAGAAAAATGGAAAAACAGTCAAATCCTCAGACGAAGGAGGCGAAGGAGGATAACCTATTAATGTTACTTCTACCTTTACATAGAAATTTATATCCGGATCAATGAATGGAATGTACGTTATTTTTACACTTGTTACGTAGAAAAAAAAATAAATTTTAAATTTAAAAAACTGACTTCTTCTTTTTGGTACCGTGACAAAAAAAAAAAAAAAAAAAAAACACTAATCTAAAACTAACTCAGTACATACATAATCAAAACCTTTAAATCTAAGAAACATCAAAGAAAGATATTCTCCCTGGTGTTTTGGTAGAAACTAAGATTAATTGACAAAAACAAAATTCGCAAATGACATTTCCGTAACTAAATCTTTAACACGCTGTCTCTCACTAAATTAAAACTAATTTAGATCTCCAACCTGAAAACACATAAAATTTCAATACAAAATCTAGAGATAGCCTTAAACCCTTAACATTTCAAATACCACACAGATTTCTTCAAAACACCAGGGAAAGAAACAAATCTTACAATTAAGAAGTCTACTCATCAAATCAAAATAAATTTAATGAACCGATCGTATAGTCACCAACTCTTAAAACTGATTTTTTTTTCTTTTCCTACTACCGCAATATGAGTACCCAGGTTCGAATAAAATAACGTAAGGATCACAATGGTGACCTACAGTATACCACAATTAATACACAAAAGAAACATACACTATTAAAGATAATAAACACATTTATTGAAAATTCCCACACATTATAATTTAAGATAGCTGGCCAGACTACCCCTACAAAAATCCTTTAAAAGTTACTCATAGTTTTTTTTCATATTAATCTCATATTTAACATTAATCCATTAATACAAAAATCATAGTGAAACACGTCACAGTTCGTGATCATTTTAAACAGGAACTCAAGAAGATTAAACTCATTAAAAAAAACTAATTTAGAATAAATCATATTGAACATAGCACTTAAACATTAAAACAAAATTTCACTTCCTCCAAATGGGTTCAATTAACTTCTGACTACCCTGCTAAAAATGCCCCGTAGAAACCCATAAAATTTTTTACGGGGAATTGGCCTACGGGTACCCGTACAGCTCTGTGGGTACCCGTAGGCCAAATCCCCGTAAAAAAAAACCCACAGACAGAAACCCGTACAACTGTACGGGTACCATAGGCCAAATCCCCGTAAAAAAATAAAAAACCCATAGAAAGAAACCCGTATGGTTGTACGGGTACCCGTAGGCCAAATCCCCGTAAAAACCCATAGAAAGAAACCCGTATGGTTTGTACGGGTACCCGTAGGCCAAATCCCGTAAAAAACCCATAGAAAGAAAACCTGTACGTTTGTACGGGTACCCGTAGGCCAAATTCCTGTAAAAACCCATAAAAAGAAACCCGTACGATTGTACGGGTACCCATAGGCCGTATACCCGTAAAAACACATAGAAAGAAACCTGCACGGCTGTATAGGTACCTGTAGGCGAAATACCCGTAAAAAACCTGTAAACGGAAACGCGTACGACTGTACGGTTACGAGTAGGCCAAATCTCTGTAGAACTGTAGGCACTATAAACAAAATCCCAGTAAAAACCCATAGCCAAAAATCAGAACTTTATATGCATATCCATTGGCCAAATATCCACGGGTATTCATATACAGAATCCCTATAAAAAAACAATACACAAAAATAGAACTGTAAATCAAATTTACATAAAAACATAAACCAGCAGAAGTACATAATTAGCACTGAAATGTACAGAACTAAATGGCTGAGAAAGCATGTAAAGTAATTTTAAATAAAATTCAACGCAATTAAAAAATTTTTAAATATCTAGAAGCCTACGAACCCCTGTCCTTAATGCACGTCAATATCTATAAGCATATTACAAAATATTTGTATAAATTCTCTTTACAAAATTTTAAACTACCTTTATATAATTTTGAAAATAAAATGAAGAGAAAGATAATAACCAAAGTCATGATTCACAACCATCGAATGATATATGTACATATATGTAAGAAAAATAAGGAATAAGCAAAAGATTAAATTAGCAGCATAAAATTAATTTTCCTTCTCTATTCTAAAAACAGTAATTTTTCTGCAATGCATCACTTCGAGATTAATTCATGTCATATGAATCTTACATAATTTGATGTTGTAAAAGGAACTAAAACTCAAACAGCCAATAGTAATTTTACAGCAGTATTAACTATCAAAGACGAGTAAAAATGCATCGAGAACCAAAATTAACTCGGTCTGAATTAAGATTTCACCCTTAACATAACACATTTGCTTTTTACGCTTTGTATTAGCTGGATTGCAGTCTGTCTGCTCCTTGTTTCTTACTACAGTCAAAAGTCGTTAATTCGGACACCCATAATCCGGACCTCAAAGCTAAAAATTTTCTGCGCATGCGGCGCGTTGACACATGCGCATAGGCGTTTACGTGTGCGCGTAAGACCTTTACGCGCACGCGCGTATGCATGTGCGCAAGTGCAGAATACGTTTTCGCGTGCGCGTTTAACGTATAACGGACGGTATAAACTAAAATTATACAATTATCTACTTCAGTTAACGTTGATGCTTGCGTTATTCCTTAATCTTCGAATTGGATGCAGCTTATTATTTTTTGCAGACTGTAAGAGCAATTTTATAAAAGTAAACTTGAACTTTCGATTATGTCAATTTCCGATTCTGGAGCTCCCAAAGGATCTACAAAACGAAAGTATGTCTCGATGTCTGTCAAACAAAAAGTGGAATTGCTGCAAAAAATGGATAAAGACATGAAGAAGGTGACAGAGAGGTTAGTGAAAACGAAAAAATTTCGATTGACAAGTTAGTCGGTATTCTTAGCACAGCAATTACAGGAC